GTGTGTGTGTGTGTGTGTGTGTGTGTGTGTGTGTGTGTGTGTGTGTGTGTGTGTTACCTCTTTGCCCAGAGGCATGCCACTGCCCAGAACAAAGATGATGCCAATGAATTTGGCCACAAAAGTTTTAAAGCTGAGATGTTCCTTCAGCACCACTCCCCGCATGATTGTCCTCATCTCTGGAACACCAGAGCCTGCAGGACAGACAAGGAATAGGTGAATTTTTGTGAAAGACTCTGAGTTACAACCACAAAAGAAAAAAAATCATCTCAGGGCCCGTAAAATGAATTGAACTTGCTGTTCCAATACTTTTGGAGTGGACTAATTTTAGCCACAGACAGAAATGAGGCCACTACGCACCAGTACCACTGAATCCTCTGATCACTACCAAGGGCACAATGACTGAGACGGACTGAGCTGGGGTTGGAACCGGAAACCCACTCATTAAAGGACAACTCCCCCACCTCCTACTGCTGCCTTAAAGATACCAACCCAGCTTTATTGAAAGTTTCAATAAAATCCATCCAGCAGTTAATTTCAAACAGGCTGAGTTAATGCTGACATTTATATACAGTATAATTAATTAAGTTTTACAGAAAGGTCTCGTGCAATGAGTAGCAGTTGGAAGAAGTTACACTCAGCTACTGTCATACCACATTTTAGAATAATATACGTAAAATTGATTGCATTATAACCATTTTGTGTTTTCTAAGACAACTTGGCTGCAGCTGCCATCTTGAACTTGATTGGCTCCTGAAGATAATCAGAGACTGTATTTAATACTAAGCACTTGTTGGATGAACATTTGAGGTTTGGTTTGACCTTTCTTTTTGAAAAAAAAAAAAACTGACGATCTTCAATGATGTATTTCAAATGTTGTATTTGTCAACCAGTGTTTTTCATAGTAGGGGCTGAGGCCCCCTGGGGGTGGATGGGGTGGGTGTGGCACCAGGTGACACTTGTTTATTGGTTTGAAAGGGTGGTCCTGAGGCAGAAGTTAATACTGTTTCGGGGGTCATTGCATAGAAAAGTTTGGGAACCCCTGATCCAGACTGTAGGAGGGATTTATTAAAGGGATCCCCCATTAGTTGTAACATTAGACTTTATATAATAAACATATACTTTAACTGTAAAATAAAGACTGTAGAAATAGGTAGGCTATTCATTTTTTATCATTTTTAAACTAAAAGTTTAAAAATATATTACACAGACGGGGCCATTTTATTTACATGCAAAGCATTCTGGGTAAATAATGACATCAACTAGGTCATCAGTGTGAGACTGCTAGCGAGCTATATCCACCCTGAAGGTTAATCTTGGACAATATCTGATGATCGACTCTTTTAAATGAAACCAGAGAGCGTTGACAGAGAGGAGAAGG